CCGGCGGCAGCTCCTCCGGCGTGAGTCGCATTTTGATGTTTGGCTCCGATGAACCTGTAGAGAAAAGAACGGTGATCACAGTGGTATAAAATTTGCATCGAACGGAGGTTGGGAAGGGCCTCATCGGATGCAAAAATAGAGGGGGGGCGCGGCGGCGCCGCTGGACTTCGGCTGGGTTTTCCGGCCATTTGGCGGGTGGTTTGGCTTCAGTTTGGTCATAGGCGGACTTAGCATCGAAAAATGAGCCAGGGGGAGAAAATTTACCTCGATCGGAGGTCGAAAACTTCCCCGGTGCAGCGGCGGGTGGCAGCGGCCGGCTACTCCGGCGTCTGGTTCTTCTTCTCCGGCGAGGCACTGGCGGCTAGGATTTTATGGTCAGGTGTGGGTGGGGTTATTTATACCCTTTGCCTTTTGATCTCAACCATCAATCAAGATTAGATTTAGACCATTCGGTCGCGATTTAATTGGGATTAAATCTGGACCGCCATCGCGATGCAATCTAGGCCGTCCGTGCCTGATTGAATCTGAGTTGTCCGTACGCGTGAATCTGGACCGTTCGTGCGCACGTTTGATCTGGATTGTCCGTGCGTGCGGGAACAGATCTGGGCCGTCCGATCGCGTGCTCGCGGATCGCCCACGTGGCCCGTCCCCTGGTCAGCGTTTTCTTGCCACGCGGCGTGTCCTGGTTGGCCGGGGCTGCTGACGTGGCTGCTGACGTGGGTGCTGACGTGGTATAACTTTTTTAAATTGCGTTTTGACCCCCGGTTTCTGATTTTCTTTTCAAAAACACCCATAGAATCTAAATTTTCACCCATTTTTCCCAAAATCAATTTCAATTAAATCCAAATAATATTTTTATCCAATTTTATCATTATTATTATTTTTATTTTCATTGAATTAAATTAATTAAAAATCTAAAAAATTCAAATAAATAAAAATAAAAATAGTAAGATAAAAATTAAATTACTTGGGTGTTACATCTTGGCTATGAAGACTCCCTCCATGTCTTTTTTTTTCTTCTTTTCTTTATTACTCTTCTCTTTATATTATTTTTTCACATACTTATAACTAACTTGGTTTTGATACTATTTGTTAAGATTTTTTTCATATGAAGAAAACTTATTCTAAAATTAACAACTTAAAGTGTCTTTAAATAGGTTTACATCGAATTTAAATTTTCTAAAAATAATTTACCATAATATAAAAGATAAACATTAATTAAATATCCTAAAAGATAAATTGTCACTAATAACATAATATTTAAAAAATAAATATGGTATAAATCTAATTAAAGATAAATCTTATTTAAATTTAAATTAATAAATAAAATAAATTATAATTTTTACATTAATCTTCAACATGAATATCATGCAATAAAAGTTCTAATTTAGATTTATAAGACTTAACTTTTTGTTGTAGACATTCTGTTCTTATTTTTCTCTCTTCTTTCTCTTCTCTTCTACTCTTAAGATTTCAAAGTCTTTTAACTAAATTATGACAATAAACTTACATATATGAGATTACTATTTTCATAATTATAAAAAGACCTAATAACTTACACTAAATTATAAAATAACTCGTGAGTTTTATGAAATAATAATATAACTTCTCTTAAGCCCATAACTAACTAATAATTATATTAGTATAGTTATATAATTGTATATAGACATATATTCGAGGACTTAGTATACTCATAAATGAGAAAATTTATTTATTTTTTTAAAA